CTCCTGACTCCTGTGTCCCCCCCCGTTCCGCGTCCTGTGCCCGTGTCCTGACCGTGTCCCCCCTCCATCTCTGTCCCTGTGTCCCCTGCCCGTCCCGGCCCCTTTGTCCCCGTCCTGTCCCTTGCGTCTCCCCCATCCTCATGCTTGTGACCTTCTGTCCCCATCCCACCTTTGCATCCCCTGCCTGTCCCAGTCCCTGTCTCCCTGAGCTGACCCCTGGGTCTCTCCCACCCTAATCCCCGTGTCCCTGTCCTCAACCTTGTGTCTGTGTCTCTGTCCTGACCCTTGTATCTCCCCCATCCTGATCTCTGTGTCCTCCTGTCCCCTTCCCTGTGTCCTCATCTGGACTTCTGTGGCTCCCTCATGCCATCCCTGTGTCCCCAGCCCCGGTCCAACCCATGTCCCCGTTGCCATCCCAACCCCTGGGTGTCCCCATCCAAACCCCTAGGTCCCCATCCCCATTTGGACCCCAATGTCCCCCCTGTTCCAACCTCTGTCTCGTCTGTCCCAGCCCTGGTCTCTGCACCCCCCTCCCCATCCTGACCCCATCCCTGGCTGTGTGCGGCCCTACGCTGTGGGTGGCCAGGCCCGAGCTACGCTGCAGGCACCCACGGGGTACCGGCCCCCAAGCCGCGGCCTTCACCTGCTCCGTGATCTGCTTTGCCTGACCCTGTCCTTACGTGCCGCAGGGTGCCACAAGGTGCAGGCGTAACTCCTCACGAGCCAGCCTGCGTGCCCCCGCCCTCGGCCGTGCTGCCTTTCGCGCTGTGCCCTGGCTCCAGGGTGCCCTGGCCGCAGAGGAGGCGTGCGATGCTGGGCACCCCTCTCCGGCTGGGGCCTGGGTGCTGAGCCTCCTGGTGCCCGAGGGCTCAGGCTGGGGGGTTCTGTGTCCATGGTTGGGCAGCAATCATGGGGCAGGTGCCTGGCATGGGCTGGTGCTGCCAGCCCACTCTGCAGGTCAGGGCAGGAGGACAAGCCCTGAGGACTTGAAAACGCTGCTCTGGTTGGCACTACCGCAGGGTGCTTTGGGGGCAGTGGGGTCTGGGGAAGCTGTGCAGCACCACTGGGCTCTGCCACCTGCGAGGACACAGAGCATCTTCTGGAGCCTTGCTTTGTGCTCTGCAGAGCTGGCAGGGACAGGCCACAACTGTGGAGGACCCACCATGTCTGTGGGGCACAGGCTGTGGCAGCAGGGGCGCGCCATGACTATGGGGGACAAGTTGTGGCTGTGGGGAAATGGTGGCCACAGTGATTGGGGAAGTGCCATGTATGTGATGGACAGATCACAGCTGTAGCAGTGGGGACAGGCCTGGGGGACAGGTTGTGGCGGTGGGGGACAGGCCATGGCTATTGGGGATGGGCCGCAGTGGTGTGGAACAGGCCATGGCTATGGGGGGCAGACTGCAGCTGTGGGGACAGGCTAAGGCTGGCGTGGTATGCCACTGACTG